TTTTCGGCAATAGTTTTTACTTTCTTGAAAGGCACTTTTGATGCAAATATTTTTAGTGGCGGTTTTTTTTTTTTTTGGTCATTGAGACTACTTCAGCGGCGACAAATGTCAATGTTAAAAAAAAAAACACCGTTGAAAGACGTTTTTAATGATTCATTGTCACTGGAGAAAACTTTCGGTAACAATCATTTGAGGCATGGTCTTTTGGGTGAAAAAAAATTGCCATTAAAAACTTTCGGTGGTGAGAAGTCAATTTCTTTTTGTAGTATGGGTACTTTAATTCTTGCAGTTGTAGATAAATATTCGGCTTTTTTATTTAAACACGATGAACAGTAAAAAATTTACTTGGATTTCAGATCATGATTGACTTTAAATTTGTACAGAACTCGTTCTTAGTTCGAATAATTTGAGTGGAGGCCACATCATAAAATGAAAGTTGTTCTTGGTCTGAACAACTTCAGTGGGACCCACAATCCATATTTATCTTACATTCCACGTGAAATTCCTTCCTTTCATACTTTTTCAACTTTCCTGTTTGACTAGACCATATTCTTGCTTTTTCCAGCCACACACGCAAAGTCACTCAGGGAGTAGTCATTCATTGTCTTCAGCTCAACTTACACGTAAGAATTCCGTCCCCAAATATTCCCATACACAAAGTCACTTAGGGAGTACTTATTCATTGTCTTCAGCTCAGTTCACGCGTAAGTGTTTTGTTTTGACATGTAGTGCATAGTGTAAATTCTTTATATAATGGCATTTGGTATTCCCACTCTAATCTGTCTTCTCATCACTTCTCAAGTTCTTCTTGAACTTCGCCGACTCCTTCCATTCTTCTTTCTCTTTTTACACTTTTGTGTGAAGTAGGTGGTGTGTCCGGTCTTGTAAATATTGTATACATGTTATCTCAACTTGAAGTTTTATTTTTCTTTTGACTAAGGTATATCCTCTTGATTAATTTTTTTTTAAATTTTGGTATGTATTTTGCTAAACGATGGATAAAAATTTTATATTTAGTCATTTTTACATGTTGAGTTTGTTTTAATTAAAAAATGTAGGCATATAATTAATTGTCATATAAAATAAATTATAGTTTACTTTTTTATAATTTGATTAAATATATAACTGTTTTTTTAGTAGATAGTGCTTGAGTAAATATATAGTCAGAATAAATATGTATCTAATTAGATAATATTTAGTTGTGAGCTTAGTCTGATCTTGTATCTGGCCACTGAAAACTAGCACTAAATGGTGCCAAAATTTTCCTAATAAAAAGAGTACTGATAGTGGGGTTAATAATAATGAAAGAGGAGTTTTTTTATTTAATTTTTTGGAAAAATTAGAGAGGAGGACCTAGGAAAAACAATATTTATTAAAGATGATCTTAAAGATTATAATTATTCAGGGAGACCAAATAATAAAATATAAATTTAAAAAAATTACTCAACAGCAATGGCTAATTGTTTTATTATATTAAGTAATTATAATTTTTAAATAACTAGTGTGAAATAGTTATTAATATTTATTTTTGTTTTCAATCATAATGATGCTTTTTTGGGTTACTTAAACGGTACTTAATGTAAAATTACACAAGTGCATTCATTGTAAGCTTATCATTATTCAATGTAAATTTACCTTTATGTGCTAGTCAAAATATATATCTCATTAGAAGCCTTTATTCACAATATAGAAATTAGATGTTGAAAGGAATATAATTATTCTTTAATAATATAGATAAATTAAAATTGAACATTTGAAAATGAAGTTGGGACCAAGAGAAAAATGAAGCAGAGGCAATTTTCTTGAATAAAAAACTCACATTTTCAAATTAATTTATTTAATCAAATATTTATCTAATTTAATCATTCAAAATATCCAATAATGGATCATAAGTTAGAGAAAATTTAGGCATGTAGTTGTTGGATAATTTAATATTTTTAAATATATTTAATCCAATAACAGTGAGGCAGTTTTTTGTCTACTCAACTACCAATTGTAAATGAAAATTTAAGTGAACAAGAGCCTCAAAATTTTAGTCATTCTGATAACATACTAGTTTTATCATCAAGCCCTATCACCTCTTCCAATCCAACTTATTTTTTCCCTCATCACATGCCATCATCATCGACATTATCCCATTCTGACTCACCTAATCCTTCTCAATTTCAGTCATTCATGTTCTTATTTGATACTCTTACATTATTTATCCATCAATATAACACTTTTTCTTTTGAGTAAGGTGGTCCATCAAATGAGGCATTTGCCACCTTTTGACAATCAATTTCTTTGGTTGAATCACCTTGGTTTGATTTAAATACACCAATTATGTAGACAAATGAGATATTAGATCAAACTCAAGAAGTAAATATACAACAACAACCACAGCATGCGCGGAGGAGACCAAGATTAGACACCACGAAGTAAATTAATTCTTATTTTTGTTCATGTCAATTTAATTATTATTTATTATTAATTTTATAAAACTTAATCATTACTTATTTTCATTAATCACTTTTTTAATTAATGTAATACTCCTCCGTCCTAATTATAAGACCCATTGACTTATTTGAGGAGATTAAGGAAGTAAGTTAAGTTGGTTATTTATAATAAATAAGTGTTGTCATTCCTAAAATATCCTTGCTCATTAAGTATATTGGCTAAAACTATCATTATTAGAAGGATTATCTTGGAAAAAATACATAATGTAAGAGACAAAATGGATTTGGGTCTTATAATTAGGACCAAATAAAAAGTCAAATGGGGTCTTATAATAAGGACCGGAGGAGTATTAATTATTACTATTATCATTATATAATGATTAACTCATTATTCTAATGATATGATCATTATTAACATCCTTGTAGGAACATTTATGTGGTGAGAGATTATGAAGAAGTTGTTCAAATGCTGATGAAGTTTGAAAGTTGTTCATGCCAAGATGAATTTCAGTTGGACGGGAAACAAGGTTTATTGAAGAAATTGTTCTTACTAAAGATGAACTTTAAAAGTTGTTCAAGCCAAGATGAAGTTCAGTTGCATGGAAAACAATGTTTATTGAAAAAATTGTTTTTACTAAGATGAACTTTTGAACAACTTTGAGTGTAATATTTGGGAAAATAATTCCCACTATGTAGCATTTGAAGAATTATTTTTTCTGTTTGTAGCGTTTTGGTAAAAATTCCTAAATATTCTTTTGGAATATGAGTAAACGAATAAATCATAGTAAGCATCTACATAGCTTTATAATAATAACATTTTTAGTGCAATTGTAGAGGGATACTCTTTTAGAAATCAAATAATATTTTTACAATACTAGGCTAACGGCTATTTCTAGATCAATCAGCTTACTTAAAGTTCACATTTGTATTTGAAGAACATCTAGTTAGACGAGCAAGAAGTTTCTAGAGAGTATAAAACTTCGTATGACACTTGAGGTAGATGAATAATGCCAGCAAACCCTCATAATCCTTCAGAGGACTATTCAAATACATTTTGATAGATGAATAAGCAAGTTTTAAACAAGGAAACTGCTCTAAATCTTGAACATGAGTAGATGAATCATTTCAATAATTGCACACCTAGGAATAGAACATTTAGTAAAGGGATATGACGTTGGCAGATGTTCACCCTGATCATCTTCAAACTTGTGATTTCTTAGATATTTCAAATTCATGCGCTTCAAGTTTGAAACTAAGTTCTCAAATGATTTAGGATAAAATAAATTAAGAGCATTGAAAAAAAGCCATACCAAACAATCCACCATTACAAGTGAAAAAAACAAGAGATAATGAAACTTTACCTCTAAGCCAGCCCATAAGTCCCCTAGCACTAAGCCACAACAATCCACAACACATTAGGGTGTAGGGTGCAACCTACAAACCCATCTACAAGTAACCCATTTGGTTCAAGGCATAAAATCACCCACAAATCCGCTACAAAATATAAAACAAAACAGAACCTGGCCATTGCAGCAACTTTCTGAGTAAGTCCTTAGTATATTAGAATTAGAAGTAGCATGTAAATATGGATCCACAAAACAAAGTCTCATGCAACAACCTATAACCTCCTTCCACCTAACATAACAATGATTAGTTCAAAGTATGCACGCCTTAACACTTGGCATATACATCGCATTTCATGTAAATAAGATAAGAATGGACCCTACAAAATAAACAAGTGTCTATCCCCTTCAAACCACAAAAACTTTTGCTTGAAAATACCGAACAACCACACGGGATAACACATAAAGTCCCATTAACCAAATAGTCAATTTACAACATACTCCTCTGGTTCTTAATATAGGATCTAATTCTTGAGCTGGTTTTTGTTCTAAATATAAGACCTATTTCTCATATTTATCAATTTTTTCTAAATTACCCATAGGATACTCCCTCAACTATAATTAAGTAAAAGAGGAGATGGAGTATTAAGAAAGATGATTATAGTTTATAGGAAAAATATGTCATATTTCTTATAATTAACTAACTAATCTAACTTCCTTAATCTAACCAAATTAGTTAAATGGGTTTATATTAAGGATTGGAAGAATATATAAATAGGACCATGCTAATCAAACTCTTCCTCATGACTCTTTGACAGAGATCAAGACCATTAATGTCAAGTAACCTAACTAAGATCATCTATACACATAAACTCAACTGACTTCCTCTTTGGCCTCCCACCCACTTGGATGTGGGCTTGAAAAGGTGCCAACCACTATGATCAGTGGTAAAAACATGCTATAGATTTCCAAATAATTAATCCCCACAATTAAACCCTAGTCATCTTTAAAACACCCGATATCCAAAATGTACACATAAAGTCAAGCGTAGTCCAGTCCAAATAAACCATGCAACACGGCCGCAAAGGTCCACATGCATATACATGTTCAGCACCTAAACTTTTGAAACGACGTCGGTCCTGCGCCATCCTCAAAACTGAAGTCTCCGGTTCGCGCTGTTCAGTTGGCCGCTGAAACAGGAGGGAACCTCTGCATTTGGCAAACTATTCAAACTCTATCTCCTTGTGACGGTGGAGGTACGATATTGCTTCATATTTTTTTGCTTACTGATGCACTTTTGCTGCGCAATCTGAGAAGTATTTCTTTGTCTTTTGTCGATTTGTTTGAAGATGTTTATCCCTCTTAGTATGGGATGATCTGTGGTAAATGTCAAATTGCGTTCATATTAATATTATTATTTTAAGCGCATTGTACGTGAGGATTCAATCAGCTGTAGCTTTTGCAAACAGTTCTAGAGAATGCACAGTGACAGTTTACTCGGAGTATTTGGGGAGACTTCCAAATGAAGGAAGGGCCTAACTCGGAAAGAAAAAAGGGGGAATTACAATTACAGTTAGGTACTAGAAATGGATTAATTTAGAGGTAGGTACAACAATTTTCGCCGAAAGAGATCTTAGTTGCAAATAAGACATTAAGACTCAAGTTATTGGTGGTGATTTGTGCCTTATACTCTCATATCTATAATTGCCTAAATTGATATATGAAACTCATCTTTCCCTAATATTGTTTTGGGAATTAACAATTAAAATGAACTTTTGGGAACTATCCAAAAATAAAAAAGTTATACTTTAGGCTTTAGTTTTAAGCCTTGAGGTTGGGGCCTTTCATGTGAGTCTCACCTGAATTCAGAACAGTAATGCTTAGCTGAATCGAGAAATACTAGTCCTTTTTGTTGTTTTTTTCAATCCTGCGTTATTCTGTTCTATTACATATTCGCCTTGAATTACTCTAAATAGTACTACTTCATTTTATACAACTAGAGAGACATTGGTGTTGTTATTTTGAATTCGTTAATTTTCCTTACCCCACTTTAATTACAAGGAAATGAACATGGCATTAGCAGAAAAAGCGTAGAGCAACTTCAGCCCTAGAAAATATTGATTGCTCTTGCAGTTTTTGAAAGTCTTTGTGATTCACAGGAAACCTTGAGTGATCTTTAGGGATTAGATAATGAACTTTTACATCCTTCATTATTTTTTTTTTATTTTTTTTATTTGGGCTTATGAATCATTATGTTATTTATCGTACTTGGATTCCTAATATTTTCCCCAGATAGTTTCATTATCTATTTGTGATGTTTTGGTTTTTAATATTTTTTGTTCCCTTGCAATTTCCCCAAACATGTGTAAGATTTACATGAATTTGATGTATGCCTACCTTTAACTAAATCTATTTTATAATCTGAAGTTTGACTAAGTACCGGTCAAGAGTTGTGTAACTGGAGAGGACTAGCTTGCTTCAACTTAAATGCATCATCTCCAACTCGTACAAACTACAAAAATATGCATGTGGAATTGGATGGCTACATCCTCTAATAAGCCAAGTGGTTTCTAAGTCAGTTAGGAAACTGATACCATATTGGTTTGCTTTACTGTCAATGCAATGTCATGAAATCCTTCAGAGCGTTTAGAAGACTCTATGACAGTTTTGGATTCAGCATACATTCTAGACAACTATCAGTTATCACCGGGGCCAAGCTAGAGCTCTTAAAGGTGAACGAAGCTGTTCATGTGGATGCAGATGTTGCTCGTATTTCAACTTTGCATTATCTTATACAGCTATGTGCTAAAACACAGTCATTGATGGAAGGGAGTTCTTGTCATGCTCAGACTATTCGTATTGGCTTTGAAATAGACATAATAACATCGAATATGCTCATTAATATGTACTCTAAATGTGATTTAGTGGACAACGCTTTCAGGAAGTTCAGTGAAATGCCAGAGAAAAGCTTAGTTTCTTGGAATACAATGATTGGATCTCTTACCCAGAATGGGGAGGAGCAGGAAGCTCTCACTCTTTTCATTAAAATGCAAAGAGATGGAACCTTATGTAATGAGTTTAGCATTTCTAGTGTACTGTGTGCTTGTTCCACAAAATGTGCTATAGTTGAGTGCATGCAGTTGCATGCTTTTGCCATCAAGGCTTCTATAGATTCCAATGCTTTTGTTGGAACTTCTTTGATTGATGTTTATGCTAAGTGCTCTATGATAAAAGATGCAAATCAGGTATTTCAGAGCATGCCTGAAAGAAATCCTGTAACATGGAGTTCTATGGTGGCAGGATATGTGCAAAATGGGCTCCATGATGAGGCCTTGCTACTGTTTCATAGTTATCAGTTAATGGGATTGGAGCCAGATCAGTTTATGATTTCATCTGCTATTAGTGCTTGTGCAGGTTTGTCAACTTTGATTGAGGGGAAGCAGGTGCATGCAATGTCATGTAAATTAGGATTTTATTCAAACTTGTATATTGTTGCCTCCCTTATAGATATGTATGCCAAATGTGGCTGCATAAAAGAAGCGTACCTTGTGTTTCAGTATGTGGAGAAGAGAAGCATTGTATTATGGAATGCAATGATATCAGGGTTTGCCAGACATGCTTGTGCACTAGAGGCCATGATTCTGTTTGAGAAATTGCAGCAGTCAGGCTTCTGCCCTAATGATGTAACATACTTATCTGTTTTAAATTCATGTAGTCATATGGGCTTGCATGAAGAAGGACAGAAGTACCTTAACCTTATGGTAAGACAGCACAATCATTCTCCCAACGTCATTCACTATTCATGCATGGTTGACATTCTTGGTCGAGCTGGACTAGTTAATGAGGCATATGAGTTGATGCAGAAAATGCCATTTAATGCAACTACTTCAATGTGGGGTTCACTTTTGGCCTCTTGTAGGAAATGTGGCAATATTGAGCTTGCTGAGGTTGCAGCCAGGCACCTATTTGAAATGGAACCTAACAATGCAGGGAACCACATCTTGCTGTCAAACATATATGCAGCAAATAAACAGTGGGAGGAAGTTGCAAGAGCAAGGAAGCTTCTCAGAGAGACTGATTTGAAGAAAGAGAGAGGTAGGAGTTGGATTGAAATTAAGAATAAAGTACATTCTTTTACAGCTGGTGATAGAAATCATCCAAAAATAGATGGGATTCATGCGTATTTGGATATTTTGATAGAAGAGTTGAAGAAGATTGGTTACAAAGTGGAAACTAATCATGAACTTCATGATCTGGAGGAGGGCACAAAACAGGTTCTTTTGAGGCATCACAGTGAGAAGCTTGCTCTTACCCTTGGATTGATGTGTTTGCCTTGTGATATGCCCATCAGAATTATGAAAAACCTTAGAATCTGTGGTGATTGCCACACTTTCATGAAACTAGCATCAAAGTTTGCGAACAGGGAAATCATTATCCGAGATACAAATCGTTTTCACCACTTGAAGGATGGCATCTGTTCTTGTGGGGATTTTTGGTGAACGTCTAATTTATCTTCCTTTATATTTCCTCTGGTCTGACTATCATTGGATTTACATATTTTTCTGCTTCCTTCAACCATATTCAAGCCATCAATAGTGAAAGGCTTGGTGATCACATTTTAATTTCCTTGATCATCAATCACTTGGCTGTATACAACAGGGGCATATTTGAGATTTAAGTACACTGTGATGTAAAATTGAGAGACCTGTGGAATGCAGTTAGGGGATCTAAGTTCCAACATTTGAGCCGATGTTATTGGTCGTTATGTGTGCCCTCCTTAATTTCCACATTAGTAGCCTTTGGTCACAAAGGCTTCGAATCTGAATATTTTATGCTCTCATTAATCATGAATATGATTATGTTGGGCTATGAAGATTAGTAATGCATATGAAGCCTTGTTGGACAGGCCTGTTTTATAATAGATTTTTGGTTGTCAAGGCAGCTTAGAGAACTTCAGTCTGTAATTAGAAGATGTTCATGCACAGCTTTGGTTATTGGAGCAGGAGATACAAAGATGAATAATTTTATTATTCTTTTATACCTCGACGCTTGTGGCATACATCGCTATACTCACTGAAATCCTAGTGATAGCGTTGGTATGGCTTCTACCTGATTGTATATTTCATTATCGGGCAACTTGAAGATTTAAAATGTAAAGAATGATTTTCATGTTCTTTCTGAGTTGATCTTAACTAAATTAGGACATAGTGTGTTTGATAGTAGGAGAAAAATTAGGGCTTCATATGACTGCATTAGTGTCATTGAAGTGCTTTACTTGTATTTCATTCTATTAGACATATTTTTTGTGCAATGCATGGACTTTAAGGAAGTTACATTATTCTTGACTTTTGAATTGGCAACCTATTATCTCTATAAAAGTTCAATACAGCGAATAGTGTGTTCTACCATGCTTGAACTTTGTGGAGCGGGTCATGTTAGAACCAAGGCAATTAATGGCGCAATCAATGCATGGTGTCCTTGAGGTATGGTGTAATCGGTGGTGTGGTTTTATATTGATTAAACTTTTGCTGGCCCATGTTATGAGTGTGGTTTCAGAAATACAATGTTATCAGGTCCCTCAATGGTTTCTCTTTTAATCTTGTAACCCCCCCCCCCCGGGTAGCTTGCTGACAGAAGCATATCATAACATTATTAATTATTATAACCTTCTCTATATATATTTAGCTGCCTTGCTATTTTCCATTCATAGCTTTCATCTCTCATTCTTATTTCTCTCCCAATGCTTCTTTGTCCGTGTCTACAAAAAAGAGATAGGGAAAAAAAAAAATTTCTTTGCCCCTTTCTTTCCATTTGAAATTTGGAATGCTCAGCTGCCTCTATCTATCTCTTATTCACTTTCCTCTTCTTCCTTCTCAATTTGAAAATTAGAATGTAGCATCATTCTCTCTTTGTTTTTCTTCAATCTGTTTCTTCTGCGTCTGTCTTTCTTCTGGAAAATGGAAGGCTGAAGTGTGTTCAAATGCTTTCCACTATGGTTCCTATCCTTTGCACTTCCCCCACGCCGAACATAGTGTGTTTGCTTTATGCAGATGAGTTTTCAGCGTTCACGAAATTGACAGCCAGAAACACTTGAAGCATAGAATCAAGAGAGTGAGGCAATGGATTGAATCACGAACTGGAAAGAACATACTTGATTAGGGATCTTGTATTTGATGAATCTTTTTATGCTGATATTCATCCAGAAATTTTTTTCTTGTGCAGTTTATTTTGTGCTTTCTATTTTTTGGTTGCATCTTTTGATTGTGTGCGCTGATTGTTTTGCAATAAGGTAAAAGCGGTGGTTATGTTTACGGAAAGGCTTCCATATTGGAAGCTGACTTATTTTTTGTTAGTAAGCTTATTTATTTCGCTTTGGTTCCTCTTATTGCTTGCTGGTATAACATTTGTCATAGATTTTCATCAGGTAAAATTTCTCAATATCAAGTGCTTTTTCTAATATGGACTATTTTCATAGTTTGTGCGAAGCATGGAAGTTCATCTATGCATTTTCTCTCTTCATTCTTAGCTTACATTGGTGATATTCTCCTTTCTTTATATCATCTATTCATTCAAGTACTTGAGTTTTTAAATCGTTTAATTTTTATATTTCACCCGGTTCACCTTTCTTGGGTGAAATCTGCCCCTAACAGAAACATAATGCCCTAACCCTTTTGTTGGGTGAGGAATACCATACACTAACTCTTTGTTAAGGAGAGAACGCCATGCCCTACCCTTGGTATTCTTGACTCGCACAGATATTTAGTTGACTTTTTCTAGGCTCTACCACCAATTGAATTGTATTGATGTAGCTTATGGACTCTCCTTCCAAGTCCTAAAGCCTAGACTTGCATAAGAGGATTTGATCTAGCTAAAGAGAAATTCTAAGGAATAGGAGAGTATTCATGAAGAGCCAGAGGAATTGTTTGAAGAATATGCTAATGGAATGGGATATTTATAGGGGAAGGAAACTAATAAGCATGCATCTTGCTGCATGTCATATAGGGATCACATGATTTTTAGTTGCTCGACACCTTATCTATCTACGTGTCACGAAGAGATTACATAATTTCCTTTCCTTGACATCTCATCAATTTAATGGCCACTAATGAACCTAACTATGACATCTAGTCCCCTTAATCGCCACATATACTATAATTTTGACACCTCAACACCTAGCTTTTGAAAGATTATAATTCATCCTAAGCACACGATGTAATGACTTGAGGATTCACTTTGCCTAAAATTGGTAACTGTTAAACATTTTCCGCCATTAAGTGTTGGGCTGACACCTAATCTTTTAATTTAATTATATTTCCTATTTTTAACTTCTAACTTTCATTATTACCTTAAAATGGTAAAAATTCATACAGAGAAGCGTCTAAATTTTTCCCCCAACTTTTTATTTGTTTTATGGGAATCCAGTCTTGTATATCTCAGGTATCTATCTATGGTTTTTTTTTTTTTTTTTTTTAATTTCCTATCCTTCAATCATCATCTAACTTAGCTATCGTACTTAGCAAGTATACGTGTGGGAAGTTTTGGTAATGTCACAACATGAATGCTTGACTCCAGTTATTCATGAATGTAAGCATCGAATCTTGAAAATTTTCATAAGATATACTCAATTTAATTCTCCTCTAGTCCTTAACATAGCACCTAATTTTTTTTTGATTGCCCAGAGTATCCATCACCCGAACGGTAAGAGACTAATCTCTCGGGGTATTGTCAAGCACCGTAGCAGTGACCCCTCCTAACGATGTTTTTCTCCATACACACCGTTCTAAGGATTGAACCCAGGACATAATACTTAAGGTGTCCAAGTTCCTTCTACTAGGACCAACACTTGTTAGTAGGACCTGATTGTTAAGTTAATTTTGGTCTTAAATATAAGACTTATTTATTATATTTATCATTTTTTTTTTCTAAATTACCCTTATAGATATTCCCTCAATTATAATTAAGTGAGGGAGGAAGGATATTAGGAAAGATGATTATGGTGTTTTACAAAAAACATGTCATATTTTTTTATAATTAATTAACTTACCTAACTTTTTTAATCTAATCAAATTAGTTAAATAGGTTTTGTATTAAGGACCGGAGGAGTATAATTATAGATGACAAAGGAAAACAATATTTGAATTTTGACTAAGATAGCACAATATTTCTAAATTGGCATAAGATATGATTGGAGTATAACTTCTACTTTTCTAACTCGAGGGATACTAACTGCTTGTTGTGGTCACTAAAACTCGAGTTATTATGATAAAACTTCTCAGAAACGAACAGAATTTGTAAGAAGGATAACTCCCAATTATCTTAGAAAATGCAATTTTTAATTATAGGCTTCAAGACTCAAATTGTTGAATAAAAATTAATTACAAGTTGTGAAGATCCTGAAAAAGAAACGTAGTTAGACTAACTCGGGTTATTTGAAGTATAACCTCAAGTTATGTGGAATCTAAGATAAGCTAACAAATATCGATGCCAGTTGCTAAAAATGATGATTCGAGTTATAAAACTCGACATAACTTCCAGTTGGATTCTAGTTTTTTTTTTTTTTAAAAATAAAAGAGTAGCTTGAGTTGTAATGAACAATAACAACAACCAAATCATATAAAATTGGGAAAATCCCAATTAAATCCATCTGAAATAATGAAATTCTAATTAAAGCTTATACTTTTAATAAATTCTTAATTAGACCAAGAGGCCTGATTAGGGATTTTCAAATGTTGCTAAAAGACCAGAATGCCTCTTTGTAATCAAAAAGGAAAATTGAATGTAGGTGTAAGCCTGATTTTAGTTTTAATTATTCTAGTAGAGTTACTTAAAATTTTTTAATTAAAAAAATTAAAAATCAAGATAAAAAAATATATGATAATGAATTAAAGATTCATAGAATTCTTTCATATCTATCAATATTAAATTTATGAATAAGACTGTTACAAGATTATAACACGGGAAGATTTATAGAAGGAGTATAATACTTGTTATAACTATTGACATGACAAACCCAAATAACTTAATAATGAAAAATATAATGGAACAAATTTTCTCCAACCACCTTAGACCAGTAAACCTCTTGGAAAACCAAGAACTACGAGATGTGAATCACAATTCCAAAACACAAAAACATACCACTATTCAAGATGCCATCAACATGGTCACACAAAAAAGACTTGCAAGAATCCAAATCCTAGTTGAAATTGGTCTAGCAAATAGCTGATTTTTTTTTTGGGGCATATGTAATGTGATCATTGGTGCAAGTGATGACTAATGAGAACATGGTCTTTCTTAGATTTTATATCAAAGTTGTTTCATAATTGTAAATGTATTGTCAACTCTAGAATTTATGACCTTTTAGTTATTTTTTATATAATAAAAATTTGATAATGAATAAATCTTGGAGACCGAAAAATTGAAGATGAATTGATGAGTCTCAATGTAATTTGTGAAATAGTAAAATTAATTTTGATAGATATTCAAGAATTCCATAAATCTTTGATTTGATTTTTTCTCACAAAAAAAAAAAAACTTTGATCCTATTAATCTTAACATTTGAAGTCGTGAAATTTTTATTAGTTCCTGTATTTTTGTAATTCTATGGATACCTAGAAATTATGTATTTTTTTTTAACTTGACTTTTCAATTATTTTTGGCCAAATTTTCATATGATAATGTTTAAAGAAAAAACATGTTAGTTAAATTCAATTAAAAGAATTAAAACTAAAATTACGCTTTT